ATATTTCATTAATTGACTGCCATTAAAACAATCAAAAGCTACTTTGTAACTGATGTTTTAGAATATGTGAATTTATTATGTACACACACAGACACACACATATATAAAATCTCATGAACTTCTTGACCAAGAAGTCACCAGCATTTCTGTTGTAAACCTTATTTTTAGCTATTTGTGTAAGTGTGAAAATCTGTTGTGTTCCATGATGACTTCTTCCTTTTTTATACCTTGACTAAATATAGAAAGAACAACATAGTACTAAATCTTTAAGTTAATATTTAAGATATGGGTATATGATGTTTTATTATATCTCTCTTAATCATTGTAAGAACTGATGCAAATAGATATTTAACTTAAAAAAAAACGAACCTTAAAAATAAATATGTCATTCAGAAGTAGTTAGGGGTTGTTTTGGGCAGATTATCTGTTTATTTTCTGCTATAATTAATGGAACAAGATTTTTACCCAGTAAAAAGCCCTTATTATTCAGAGACAGGGTGGAAGGGGGAACAAGGAGTTTCTTCTTTCTGAGTAATCCCTAGTTTGAACTTGAGAGAAAGGTGCTTGTTGATGAGACTGCCTTGTTTCCTATACCATAGTCCCAGGCTGGGGGAGATGGAGAGGCACCCCACCAACCAGGCCCAACACACCTCCTTCTTTTCAATGTGGCTGAATCAGAGATAAAGAGATTGCTGTTAGTAAGACTCATTTTGTGAAAAACCTCATTGATCTCACTAGGCAGAACCACTCATGTGATTGTTTAAAGGAAATGTAAAAATGGTGTTCTGGGCTCTGGTAAGTATCATGCATAGGTTTAAATAAGGATTGTTCTTATTAAAAGTAGCAAAAAGGTAAAACTTGATGGGAACAGTGGGTATATTGTATTGTGTTCTATGAGCAAATTCAAACATTTTATGTATTCAGAAGTAGATGTAAGATAGAAAAGGACAGACTGGGAACACTTTTATTTTTAAATTTTTTTATGGAAGTAAAAAAGGTAGAAAATAGAAAATCACTCCCCAAAAGCATAGACATTCATGGCTGATGAAGAATAGATGTACTGGACGAAACAGACATCAAGAGATAAGAAGAGTTAGGAACAGATGTGCTTCGTGGAAGGATGCAGCCCTTGCTTGACTAATCCCCACGATAAAGTAGATTAATAGAGTGCTTGTGGCCAGGTCACAGGAAGGCCATCTGATGACCAGAAAGTTGCCTGTGAGTGCTTTCATTGCCAAGTTACCCTGAAGCACCAAATCAGGATGGGGTTCTATAGTACATTTTAGAAAAAGTTTGACTCAGTTCTATTCATAGAACTCAGGGTGAGTTCTTTTCAAAGCATCTTGAAATAAAACCAGAGTTAGATTTTTTTAAAGAGTTAAATATTTGGGATCAAACAAGTACTGGGTTATTACTAAATTTTCTAATATTGCACTTAAATAGGACATGTTTTCCAATGCAATTACAAAATGTGGGCAAAATTAGCTAACATGGATATTTAAATGCTTGAACATATAGTTTTATTTTTTTCAGAAAAAAAGAAGCCCACCTGAAAACCTACTTTTCCTACTTCTATAGTACACCATGCATAGAGAAAATCTAATAGGTCTGTCTAGAAGCTAAATCAAATTAAAATATCTAAAATTATAGGGCCTTTGCCCTATAGACCTGTCTGGGTAGAAGTTTATGATAGGAAATAAATATACTCATTATTGCAAGTTTTTATAACCCAAACATATATCACCATTCATAACGTGGATGAAAGATCATGTGCTCTGGAGTCAGGCATAAAGCTGACTCCCAGGTTTGCCTTTTATTACCTGTGTAAATTAGCACAATCTACTTAAAAATCTTTGCACCTTGATTTCTCATATTCTACAGATGTTGTGAGGATTAGTGATATTGCATTTCAAGTAATTATCACAGTGATCAATAAAAATAATAGTGTACGAAACTAGTATGTTCGTTTTCCAAGAATCTATGTCAATTTAGATATAACAATTCACAAAACATTCATTCATTCATTCATACACTTAACACACATTTGGATTATCTCTAGGTTTGGGAATAAATAATGGTAATAGGACATGAACCTTGACTTCTTGATATTCAAGTTCATCAAAGTTCTTGATAAAGTATGTAGACTTTAAAAACAAATTTGTGAGTTCTTCCAATGAAAAAGTTACTTTCTTTTTTACATTTTGTTTTTCTAGAGTAGGTATTTGCTAAAGGGGTCAAATATGAGGTTACTTTGGCCAAGGTTAGAACTTTTCTTTAAATTCTTGCTAATCCAACATAAGCAAAATCTGGACATGCTAATTATGTTTTAGAAATCAAATGAGGAGTGCGCCTGGGTGGCTCAGTCATTGGGCATCTGCCTTCGGCTCAGGTCATGATCCCGGGGTCCTGGATCGAGCCCAGCATTGGGCTCCCTGCTCCGCGGGAAGCCTGCTTCTCCCTCTCCTGCTCCCCCTGCTTGTGTTCCCTCTCTCTCTGTCTCTCTCTCTGTCAAATAAATACATAAAATATTAAAAAAAAAAGAAATTAAATGAGGATTATAGAGCCTCCCCTACTCTAAATTCTCTGTGTTGAAGTAGGAAGAACATGGATTAATTAATATAAAAATGAGAAAGGGTTCATTGAGATGACAAAAATGAAAAAACAAGTATGATATATCCAGTGCTATGGAGGGTGTGATAGCACATACATGATCTTGTTTAGTAATTTCTGTGCACATCTAAATTTGAGATCCACTGTGGTTGGCAAAGGAAAATAAAGAAAACAAAGGAAGAATTTTCTGGGTACTGAACTAATTTGCTTTTTTTTAATTTAATATAATTTTATTATGTTATGTTAATCACCATACAATACATGATTAGTTTTTGATGTAGTGATCCACGATTCATTATTTTCATATAACACCCAGTGCTCCATGCTGAACTAATTTGCTTTTAAGATAACTACTAAATCCCCAAGTGAAAAGAGGATAGATGGAAAGTTCTAAAAATTTTGTTTTTTTAATTTTACTGTCTAATCTTAATATTACTGTACACTTAAAAGTAGTATAGTCACAGTTTAAGGAGGTAAGTAAGACTCTAAAGTCAGCTATAATATATAAATGTGTGAAAAAAGGTCTTCAAAGCAAAACATCATATTGTCCCTCCTTCTTTCTAAAGCTAATCCCACTCCTGTACCTTGAAGTCTTCCCAGCTGGGTTCCTTACATTATTGATTTTCCTTTCTCTTCTTGACATTAATTTGTTCCTTTCCAAAGGAAAGGATTGTTACATAAATATTAGCTTATTCAAATATTTTTATTTAAAGTCAATATATAAATAATCAAGAACCTGTATAACTCTCCAGATACTGCCCTTTCTCTCCTCTATCCCCAATCAAATTTCTTCTATTCGTGTCTCTATGCTTTCTTTCACTCACTTCAGGACAATATCAGTGGGACTTTCACTCTTATCACTCCTGATGTGCTATTCAACAAAGTCATCGGTGACATTCATGGCGACAAATTCAACATTCATTTTCTGTGATCACCGTTTCACCCTTCTACAGTCGTTATTATTCCCACTTAGAATGCTTTTCTTGTTTGGCTTCTCCTCATCTCTTTCTCCATCTTCTTTGCCACTTATTGTCCTCTACTCAATCATTAAATTTTGGATGTCCTCAAACTCAGCCCAAGATTCTCTTCATGTGTCCCTTTATATCTGGTCCTTGAGCTATCTCATCGACTCCAAGAACTTCAGTCACTTTGTCTACACTTAACCCTTCCACACAAATATATTTCTAGTCCAGTCCTCTCGCCTAAGCCCCAGACTCTTCCATACAATTATTAAATGGTAGACTCTGTCGTATATTCCATATCTGAGTCATTGGTTTAGTATCCATTTAATTCCATAATCCAAAATCCCAGTCATCTTCCTTGATACCTCGCTCTTCACCTCCTGTATCCAATCTTTCATCATGTTTTGCCTATCTGCTTTCTAAATGTGGATCAAATACAATCACTATGAGTTGGCGTCCACATATTCCACTCCAAACTCTCTCCAAAGCAATCTGCGTTACTGCCAGACCAAACCTTTTGAAATACCATACTGATATTTTGCATGCCCCAAACCCTCAGCTTCAAATTCATAATGAACCTAAATATTGATCACTTTTGAAACTAAAAAGGGATGGGAAAAGAAAATAGTATTAACAATGAAAGAATTAAACAAAGAAGAACATGACCTTTGGACTTGGGGATAACCATCCTTAAAATAGTTATAGCTTCAAACTTATCATCTATAAACAGAAATTAATGATAGCTACATAACAGAACTTTTGAAAATGCTAAATAAATCAGGTATAAAGTGTTAAGTTCTTTACCAAATAAACGCTTAATAAACACTAGTTCCTTTCCTTTTTGAGAAGTAGAAAGGCAACGTTGTTTCTGAACAAGAAAATAATGCTGGAATAATCAATCAGTTACTTGAGGGGACAAATATTTTTAAGGTGAGGTGATAAACAGAATGAAGTGTTAATAGTGAGGTCCGCTGAGATGAATACTCAAACTGGCCTTAAATTTTTTTAAAAATTATGAAAATGATCTTGTTCAGACTAAGAAAACACATGCTCCAAATTATCAGTTCCTAAGTGCCAAATTGAAAGAAATATATATAAAGTGGTGTGAATGAGTCAAGAGTTGCCTGGTGATTTCCAATTAAATTGTGTATGTGCAAGAATATTTCACACCACATGGAAAGGATGATGGGCTTGAACATTCAGCTAAGATCAAATGAAGACATTAAAACTTAGAACAGGAGTGAAATGTATGAGTTAAAACCAACCAAATGATGGAAGTATAAGTGTTGATATTCACAACAAAACAAAAACCATCCTGCTCTTCATAGAGCGCTTTTATCTGTACTTGAAATACTTTATACAGTTCTTTCTATGTTGACAACACTGAGCTTCAAAACACTTAGAATGTAAATCAATTTAACCTTTCAGGCAGTAAACTTAACAAATATGTATGAAAAACCAAAGAAAGAAAAAGAAAGAAAGAAAAAAAGAAAGAAAGAAAGAAAGAAAGAAAGAAAGAAAGAAAGAAAGAAAGAAAGAAAGAAAGAAAGAAAGAAAGAAAGAAAGAAAGAAAGAAAGAAAGAAAGAAAAGGAAGGAAGAAAGAAAGAAGGAAGGAAGAAGGAAGGAAGGAAGGAAGAAGAAAGAAAGAAAGAAAGAAAGAAAGAAAGAAAGAAAGAAAGAAAGAAGAAAGAAAGAAAAAGAAAGAAAGAAAGAAGAAAAAGAAAGAAAGAAAAAAGAAAGAAAGAAAGAAAGAAAGAAAGAAAGAAAGAAAGAAAGAAAGAAAGAAAGAAAGAAAGAAAGAAAGAAAGAAGGAAGAAAGAAAGAAAGAAAGGAGGGAGGGAAGGAGGAAGGGAAGGAAGGAAAAGAAACCCTTTGATCTAGCAATTAGAGTAGTTTATCCTTATACATAACTAGGGATGTATTTCCTAGGCTATTGCTAAGGATTTCTATTGAATTGTTTAAAATATTAAAAAAATAGAGGAAATCTATTTTTTCAATGTGTATTCTTTTTAAAATTCTGTATATATATAACTTAAATTTAAAATATATTATCATTACACAAAAATATGACTGTACTCTGCAATTTTAAAACCTGTTTTTAAATAACCTGTTTTATAGTCTGTTTTAAATATAATGTGAAGATATTATTATGTGATTATTCTTCATATTGCTTTAAATAGCCACCATAAATGGCAAAATATGGATATAATTATTTAATGAATCATTCTCAACTTTAATCATTCATTCAAAAAGCATGTTATTATGTACTCATGACAAACCAGTTGCTTAATGAATATTACATATAAGCAAAGGATGGTGGCACATAACAGAATATATAACTCTGAGAACCATATTCCTGTCCACTATATTCAGTGTTCAGTTTATTTAAACATTGTCAAATTCTCTCTTACTCCTTTTTTTAATGCTCCATGCTGTCCTATTAGTCACAGTGTCTTCTTCTAGAAAAGGTTCAGTGAAAACCATTGGTTATCAGTTTTCTCAAAAAATACTCTTAAGACATCCAATGTTCTTGATTTAATTTTTTTCAGTATACCTAACACTTCTCAATCATTTATTAACAATATCCTTTATTAATCAACAAATAAATGTGCTGGCTATTATTTATCAATTTAATTAATTTGGTCTTCAAAGGTAATATTATTCCTTAGAATTTGGCATTAGGGATAATTTTTTTTTCTTAAATATCTAAATGCTACCAACAGGAAAATATTTTTGAGACTAAACAGAAACTATATTTTATGCGGTAGAAAAATTCCTATGGTTTCCATAGGCTTGATGGCTGCAGCAAGGGATTGTGAATCACTAATAAGTATTTATTTCCCTTTCTGTAAACCTGCTTGGGTTAAACTAGTGTCTATACTGGAGCAGAATAGTCAAAAGCATAACCTCTTCCTCATCTCCATATCCTCTTCCTCCTCCTCTTCTCCCCCCCCCACCCACAAGTCTTTTGTTAAATGGATCCTAGTTGTCTATTCTTCTGAGATTTCTGCCTAAGTTGGTTGGCAAAATTCCTTCTATCTGTGATGGAACAAAATGAAGAGTTTAGTATCATCTAGATTTAAAAAATGAAAGAAGACACAAAATTCAAAATATGGAGAGCAAATAGCTATTATCTCTATGTATATATATGCACCCCTTTCTTTAAATTTTTTTTACAAAATATATTAGTATACATGAACAAAGGATTTCTTCTAACTAACTCACACTAAGGAGAGTAAAAATGACATTATTATTACAGCCATACCTTGTTTTATTGCACTTTAACTGTGTTTTTTGTTTTGGGGGCTTTTTTTTTTTTTTTTAAGGATTGAAGGTTTGCAGCAACCCTGCATCAAGCAAGTTTTTTGGCACCATTTTCCCCACAGCATTTGCTTACTTTGTGTCCCTGTCACATTTTGGTAATTCTCACAATATTTCAAACTTTATTCTTATCATTATTATTATATTTGTTATGGTGATGTGTGATTGGTGATTATGGCTATGTTTCTTTTTTTTTAAGATTTTATTTATTTATCAGAGAGAGAGAGAGAGAGAGAGAGAGAGAGAGCCAAGCAGGGGGAGAAGCAGGCAGAGGGAGAAGCGGGCTTTCTGTTGTGCAGAGAGCTCAATGGGGGGCTGGATCCCAGGACCCTGAGATCATGACCTGAGCCAAAAGCAAACGCTTAACTGACTGAGCCACCCAGGTGCCCCAAGAATGGTGATTATGACTCACTGAAAGTTTAGATCATGGTTATCATTTTTTAGTAATAAAGTATTTTTAAATTAAGGTATCTACATTTTTTTTAGACATGATGCTATTGCATACTTAATAGACTACAAGATAGTGTCAGCGTAATTTCTATATGCACCAGGGAAGCAAAAAACTTATTTGACTCACTTTACTGCACTATTTGCTTTCTTGCGATAGTCATTTTATTGCAGTTGTCATTGGGAACTGAAACTGCACTATCTCTAAGGTATTCCTATTACTATTACTATTTTATATGGAAGTATATTGAAACAGTGATAGTAATTGAGGCACAATTTCACATATAAAAAAAGAATACCCAGACAATAGATGACAAGGCAATATTGAAGCATCCACCTTATCTAGTACTTGATATTTCTCTTAACATTTATCTGATTAGCAGCTATTGGGCATAAAGACACAGGAAATAGAAAAACAGCGGGAAGAGCTAAGGAAGAGATGATCTAAATGAGACAAGTAACATGAAGATCTTTAGGAACAACAGAGAGGAGAGAAAAGAACTGAAATCTAGTCAGAATTTTTAAAACATGGATCTGTAAGGTATCACATCTAATACATTCTACTAAATTAGGAGTGGGTTAAAATAGAACTTAGATGGAGTTAAGGAATAGGGGATATAAAGAAGTAATAAAGATGTGAAGAATTTTGACATCCTGAATCTCTACTGAATTATGATAGTCCTAGCATACAACGAGTAATAGAGTAGTGTCCTAGCCTTCAAAAGGAACTTACAATTTTATTGGGAAATAATTCTACTTAATGAATGATCTGTGTACTAAACACATAATCAAGTAATTGAAGAACCATGCAAATCAGAACAAAAAGAAGAATTAAATCTCATAACAAAGAGTACCAAACAGCACCAATATTTGATTCAGTAGCTGGGAGGTAGGGCCCTTAAACAGACACTTTTAACAGACACCCAAGTTAATGCCGAGACAGCGGTGGATACACTGGAATTTGAGAAACACCAAAAAAGTAAAAACTCCTATGAATGATTAAAAGAAAATAGAACTATTTGCATTGACACTTTTGGAGAAGAACCCATGGCAAAGGAAAAGTTGGAAGGTTAGAGAATGTATCTTTTCCAAAGTTGGAAATTATAATCTTTATGGGTTTCTAAAATCTGTTTTTTTAAGATTTATTTATTTATTTTAAAGAGAGGCAGAATGCGAACAGGGGGAGAGGCAGGGGGAGAGGGAGAGGGAAAGAATCTCAAGCACCCTCCCCTCTGAGCACAGAGCCTGTTGTGGGGCTTGGTCCCATGACCCTGAGATCATGACCTGAGCCAAAATCAAGAGTCAGACTCTTAGCTGACTGAGACACTCAAGTGCTCCACAATCTTCATGTGTTTTAAAACTGTTTAATTATAAATATGTTCATCTTTGAAGAATTCTTAATCTTTTAAATATTGATATTCAGAAATATCTACATTATTAAATTTAAATGGAGCTTAAAAACATACTATGGAAAATCCTTATTTTGTCTTTTTTTTTTCTGAATAAAACATCACAGTATGTTAACAAAAGCTATGGAATCACTTTGCTGAATGTTTGAAAACAGAGTCTCATTTCTTTGGCAATAGCTGTGGTTTTGCCTGAAAGTGGGAGTCTTAACTATTAAATTCTCATTCTAGGCCTACATTTCTATGACTCTGGTGTTGTTATATTCTCCACACCATGGCTTGATTGATTGCACAGATAATCCTTGAGTAATAATTAAATATATCAGAGGACCATGGAGGTAATCTTAAACCAACTGGTGTTGACGCATAGATTGTGTTTCATAAAAGTTGTTGAATGAATGAGTGGCATCCAACACCATGAATCTGAGTGAGCATCCCAGGAAGGTTAAGCTGAAGAAGAAAACGTGGCTGCAATGGGTAAACAACAGAGCAAAAAGCAAGGGAGATAGTCGAGGAACATCATCCTCTATGTCAGCAACATTAAAAAAATAATTATAGGGGTGCCTGGGTGGCTCAGTCAGTTGAGTGTCTGATTCTTGATTTGGGCCCAGGTCATGATCTTGAGGAACTGGGATGGATCCCTATGCCAAGCCCTGTGCTCAACGGGGAGTCTGCTTTAGGATTCTCTCTCCGTATCCCTCTGCCCCTCCCCCTGTAGGCGCGCGCTCTCTCTCTCTCTCAAATAAATAAATCTTTTTTAAAAAAAATCTTTTAAAAAAATAAATAATTATAATCCCCCCCAAAAATAGTTGAAGCATTTTCCAAATTTGAAGATTTGATAACAGTGGGTATCAATGAGAAATTACATCCATCCTGCAAGAACCATGCTCCTGCTTACTTATGGGATGAAGGAGAGATGTAGCCACATGGGGTCTACAGCTTTTGAATTTTCATTGGGCAAGGAGTGTTGATGTGTTATTGTTAATAAACACTGACTTTGACTCAGAAAATGCTACATTAGGTCATTTGAGTTCTATAGGTCTCCAATACGGTACATTATTCCAAACATTACATTATTACAGTACATTAAAATCTGTGTAAATAGAGTGAGAGAGAAGAAAGAGAAGGGGGAAAGAAAGTGAAAATAGGAAGATGAAAGACTGAAAGAATATGGAGCATATTTGTGGGGTTTTGTTTTGTTTTGTTTGTTTTTTGTTTTTTAGATTTTATTTATCTGACAGAGAGAGAGAACAAGCACGCAAGCAGGGGGAGTGGCAGGCTGCGGGAGA